TGTATGCCACTCAAACATATGTAGCCAATTGTATTATTGTCATATTTAAATATGTAAGTCTGCACATGTTGTCTATTTTAGTTGTTTTGATTCTATCTTCTTCCCCCAATATTAGGGCAAGAGGAAAAAGTGCACAGTATGGCAGCCTCTTCAGACATTTTCTAATTGCTAACCTGTCGATTATTTTTAAGTGAAATAAAAACTTGTCACATGGTTTCTTCTTTAGGCTCGATTTTATTCTCCAGCCACCATATTTATTGATGAGATAGATTCCATTTGTAGTCGAAGAGGGACTTCTGAAGAGCATGAAGCAAGCAGAAGGGTGAAAGCAGAGCTGCTGGTTCAAATGGATGGTAGATATATGTCTCTGCATGAATTAACTCAAGGTGGGAGGATACCAGTTGTTTCCAGCTCCAATGGATCTGGCTCTACCCATAGCGCTAACTTTTTAATCACAGTGCATAATATTTTTGGTAGGGGACGGGGCAATACAAGGAATTGAACCTAGGGGCAATTAACCACTGAGCCACATGCCCAGCCCTTTTTTTATTTTATTAGAGACAGGGTCTTGATGAGTTGCTTAGGGTCTTGCTAAGTTGCTAAGGCTACAACTCAGTCTTCCTGCCTCAGCCTCCAAGTCACTGGGATTACAGGCATCTGCCACTGCACCCAGCCAGGGTGCATCTCTTTTTAACTGGTGTTCCTAATGCCAGGTGGACCCTAGGGGGCTGGTAAATACTGCCTAGAGATTGATAGCAGTACATTTGATACAGTGGCAGTGGTGACATGTCAGAAATAACAGCCACTGCCAGGAGTGGTGGCACACTCCAGTGACTAGAGAGGCTGAGGCAGGAGGCCAGCCTGGGCAATTCATAAGACCCTGTCTTTAAAAAGGGGAGTGGAGCTGGGAACATGGTTCACTGATACAGTGTCACTTGGTTTTATCCCAATTACCAAAAAATAAGGAAGGAAAAATAATGGCCATCTACAAGGTACCCTTTTAGAATATATGCTAATGTCTTATTCTTGACCATGAAATTAAAATAGAAATAAGTACAGATAAATTGGCCTTAGAAAGGGTATATATGATTTTGAGAAAGTTTCTAATTGATAGGTAATTGAACTGAGCTGATCTTTTGATTATAATCTATTCCAAGTTATATTTTTGCATACTTTTACAAAAACTCATTTTCCTTGGATTATACAGTCACCTGCTTACCAGTTAGCTTTGTGAAACCATACTACCTTGTATTATGCTAAATATGATAATCCTTAAATAGCCTAACTTTATTTCATATAGTCTAACTTAGTGTCCTTTTATTCTCTCCTGACCCTTCTATTAGGTGTTGGAGGTGCTTCTGAAAATGATGACCCTTCCAAAATGGTTATGGTTCTAGCAGCTACTAATTTCCCCTGGGATATAGATGAAGCTTTAAGACGACGTCTTGAAAAACGAATCTATATTCCTTTACCATCAGGTATCATCCTTTAAATCTTGTCTCAAAGCTCCTGTTAACACTCCAGTAGTTTGTTAGGGTTCCCCCCTCCCAATTTAGAATATGGTATTAACACAGAGATAAATGTATACTATCTTTCCTTACATTACCAGTTTGGCTACTTTTAGAACCTAGAAGTGTTGATAACTTAGGAAAGCAAAAATTCAGTGAGGAACAGCTCTTGAAATTTCAAGCAAAAGAGCCCTAAGAATTAGAAAGCAAATCAAAGTAGTCTTGAGAAAAAAATAATACACTGTGTTTATGTTGAAGGCTTACATTTTAAAACTTCTTTCTACCATTAGCAAAAGGCAGGGAGGAACTATTACGAATAAGTCTGCGTGAGCTGGAATTGGCTGATGATGTTAACCTTGCAAGCATAGCAGAAAACATGGAAGGTTATTCAGGTGCAGACATTACCAACGTGTGCAGGTATGTATTATTTTGGAAGCAAAAATTTCTGTGATTATAAACTTTTTACAAAGTTACTATACAGTGTTAAGATAGATGAGGAATAAAGACCCAGATTGTAGTCTACATAGATTAGGGTTGTAAGTTTTTTTTTTTTCCATCTGAGCTGGAGAGCCCCCATAATTTTTTAAGAAACATTTTTAGTTGTAGATGGACATATAAATAAATAAAAAAACCTTTATTTTATTTATTTATGTGGTGTGGAGGACCAAACCCTGTGCCTCATGGGTGCTAGGCAAGTGCTCTTAACACTGAGCTACAACCACAGCCCAGAGTCACAAATTTTAAGTTAATGTTAGCAGGTGTTAAGATATTTGGGTATCTTGTATATCAGTGAAGAGTCTACCACTATTTTGAACAAGTTCAAGAAGTTAGTGTTAGAACAATTTGGGTTAAATAGGAACTGAGTAATTGTCTTGGATATTAAGTTTATTGGTGTATTCCTTCACTGTATTGTTATATGAAAAATGATGTGAAATACATTAAGTTGGCATATCCATGAAGTGCAGTTAATAGTCTAATTTTCAGTGAATATATCGTAAATGTGATGGTGGGAATAGTAAGAAAAAAAAGACTCTAATCCAGGTGATGTGGCTACGTTTTATCCTGAATTTTAGCTCAGATGCTTCTTTTGTGGGGGCCACATACCCAGAATTGAACTCAGGGGCACTCAACTACTGAGCCACATCCCCAGCACTATTTTGTATTTTATTTAGAGATAGGGTCTCACTGAGGCGCCTCAGCCTCCCAAACTGCTGGGATTACAGGTGTGAGTCACTGCGCCCAGACTCAGATGCTTTTTTAAAAAATATTTTTATTAGCAAATGATGGACCTTTATTTATTTATATGTGGTGCTGAAAATCAAACCCAGTGCCTCACACATGCTAGGCAAGCACTGGACCACAGAGCCACAACCTCAGCCCCTCAGATGCTTTTTAACAGGGGGTTTGACTACACTTGCCTTCTCATCTCTAGAGTGAGACTCATGGGGGTCAGAGTTGACATGTGCACAGATAAAGCAGCTATTATTGCTGCCTTTGCATAAGTTGTGGCTACAAGTAACGATAAAACATGGTGAAAGGAAAGAGGTACTTGAATGAAGTTTCTATAATAGAGGGGAAAAGAGGAAACCACTTAAATTGATCATTTATCTTTTATGCTACATGGATATAAATATTTAATTTTCTAACATTCTCTTCTGTGTCTATGATGTTTATTTTATTGAACACTTGTAATGGCTGGCTTTTTAAAAAACTTTTTCTTGTGCTTTATGCCCAGTGATTTAAATTGATTCATCCTTAATTTCATCATGGAAGATTTAATTACTAAAAAAATATTTCAGAACGGACCTTGTATTCCAATGTAAGATCTGATGCAATACTACATGTTTAATAAGATCTTAGGGAATTCTACACTACATACAATGAAAAATTTTTATTTAGTCAAAATAACACTTTGTGGCCTTTTTAACACCTAGGGATGCATCTTTGATGGCAATGAGAAGGCGTATTGAGGGTTTGACCCCAGAAGAAATTCGAAATCTTTCAAGAGAAGAAATGCACATGCCTACAACTATGGAAGATTTTGAAATAGCTTTAAAAAAGGTTTCTAAATCAGTATCTGCTGCAGACATTGAAAGATATGAGAAATGGATATTTGAATTTGGATCATGCTAAATTCTCACATGTAAACTGTGAGAAATCTGCCTTAAGTCTTTGAAAAATAATTAAATTTAGTATTTCATTGCACTGAGTGCTATATTTTTCTAAAATTTTAAAATGGTAAGATTTAAAAAATCCTTTTAATTCGAAATAAAGGCAATTTTTTTAAGCTGCAAATTTGTTTTACTTTAACATTGCCTATTGCTTGTTATAACACAAATGTTTTCACTTGGAGCTGTCTTTTTATGTTTAACATCTTCTCTCCCACTGTTTGCTGCTGTTATTCTTCCTATGAAGAGAGTGAGACTGGCCCCTAGCCTCCTTAGACACCAGTGGATAACTGAAAATTATTCACCAGTTATAAACAAGTAGCTAGGTAAAGCATGAGCCAGACAGACTGTTTCTTTCTGAGAGTAAGACTCTTTACTTTGCATTTTTAAAAAGAGGAGAAATAATTAATGTCTGAACAACTTTATTCTGCCTACTACAGGCAGCTAGGTATTTCTAAGCCTATGATATATTCATTGTACTCTAATCAAACTCATCCATTCATGATACTAAGCTTAACGAAAAGAACAGTTAACAGTATAAATAAAAGTGAATAAAATGGAAGAAATTTAGTGGTATAAAATTCAGGTTGAGATTTCCATTTGATTGCATATAAAAAATTAATGTTCTGTATCAACCCAACCACAGAAGAGAAAATGGAGTCTCAAGGAGAACGAGTACCTTGCTGTGGTCTCAAGTCTCCCTGCCAAGAAGAGAAGCCAGGATAGGAATCTGCTGAGTAAAGCAACTATCCTCTTCAGTAGACCATATGGTCTTTGTTGTTCTAACTATAAGCTTATAGTTAATGGATAAAATACGACCTTGTCGTCACTTGGGAGTTAAGAACTAGTGCTTTTGAACAACTTAGGGAATAAAGAAGGACATAAAAAAATGTAGTAGTGGCCAAACACAGTATCACACACTTGTAACTTAGCAACTTGGTGAGATCCTGTCTCAAAATAAAAAATAAAAAGGGGCTGGGAATGTGGCTCAGTGTTTAAGCACCCTTGGGTTCAATCCCTGGTACCAAAAAAAGAAAAAAAAAAAACTAGGCATGCAGGGGCATTAGCTCAGTAGCTAGGCATGTATCATCACATCTAGCTAAAAAGTAAAAATGTTTTTAATGATACAAAATAGCAAGTATTACATGGAGTAAAGACAAGTTATACCTACTCAGGTCACATTGCTAAAATATGTCAATATGAGTTGCACAGACCCAGAATCAATCAATCAATCACTCTCTCTCTCACACACAAAGTCAATATGAGTGATGGGTTAGAAAAATTAAGATAAAATATCTGTAGGGTAAATAACATTAGCACTATATTTACAACCACAAGACAAGGGCACACTTTAATTTCATGATATTAATAGATTCATTAACTGATCTGAGCCTTGTTTTTAACTAGTTTAAGTAAGTGGGGGGAAAAAAATCAGACCTATGCCTTCATAAAGTTTTGAGCTGGGCAAAGTTTTAATGTAATTATAACCAAGAGCTACACTTTTTTTTTTCTTCAAAAACAGTTTATTTTAGAGTGAGAACATGTCACTACTACTTTTAAATCCTGGTGTATTCAAGGCAAGTAGTCTTGATACAGGATATAATCAAATCATGATGTACTTCAGTGATTTTTATACTGAGTCACAAACAATATAAAGACACATTGTATTGAATACAAAAATAAGTGTTAAGTTCTTGAGCTTTTAAATTAGAATTTCATAAAGTGCTTTTCATAAAGTCATATATTAATTAAGTGGATATAATTTCCTTATTAAAGGCACCTTGAATTTAATTGGCACATGGCATTGATTCACCTTTTTTTTTTTCTTTTTGGTAATTTCAAAGTCTCTTCACATGTCTTCTCATACACTTTGCTTAAATTTTCTTTAATTCATTTGAACAGCAAGCCCTTTTATAAATAATGTGAACTTTATAAAGGTCAATTTTAAGGCAGTCTTAGGAGTTTGGCAATTTTGCTATGCATAAACTGATTCTTAACGATTTTTAAAAACAATTATATTGAAGTGGCAAATTTGGAAACAATATAGTAATTCAGAGTCCATGATTTGAGATGGTATTTTAAATACATGTTTTATCTTCAAGGTGTTCTGTTGTTTTCTCAGAGCCATCTGGATATAAATTGATGGTTGCCACAGGTAAAACATTCACTTTATCCATCTGAAGAATCGCTCTGAAATATAAGATGATTAATTATTATCAAAGATAAAAATAGTTCCTCCACCAATAGTTTGTGTGAGATAAGGCTAGCTACTTCAAGGTTATAATTACCTGTGGTTAAATGCTTTGCTTCTGACATTTTTATAATTGTTATACAAACTCTTAAGCCCAAAATTCATTTTTACCAAACTGACTTAGGTAATAGAAAGGAATACAGGGATTGGGTGTGGCAGTACACACCTGTAATCTCAGCAATCCCAGAGGCTAAGATAGGAGGATCACAAGTTCAAGTCCAGCCTCAGCAACTTAGAGGCCCTACATGTCTTTTTTTAATTTTTTAAAAATATTTTTTAGTTGACACAATACATTTATTTATTTGTTTGTTTGTTTATTTATTTATAGGTGGTGCTGAGGATCAAACCCAGGGTTGTCGCATGTGCGAGGCAAGCACTCTACCTCTGAGCCACAACCCCAGCCCTGAGGCCCTACGCGTATTAAAATAAAAAATGAAAATGTCCGGATGTAGCTTATTGGTAAAATGCCCCATGGTCCTCTGCATCTGGCCCATAAAAAGAACAATGAAAGAAGAAAAAGTTGCCCTAAGCAACTAGCAAAGATCTTATTAAAAGATCACAGTAACTAGGCATGGTATTACACAGGCTATCATGGCAGCAACTCAGGAAGCACAGCAGGAGGATCATAAGCTTTAGACCATCCTGGGCCACTTAGCAAGACCCTATGCCAAAATAAAATTTTAAAAATGGGTGGGGATGGAGCTCTGTGATAAGAGTACTTGCTTAGCATGTACAAGGTCCTGGATTCACTCCCCAGTACAGTGGGGGGGGAAACTGAGGAGGAAAGCTCTCAACCTTTACTCTCTCATGCCTATTGGTTAGAAATAAACTATTCTCTCATTGCAATAATTTGGGTGAACACCCCCCCCCCCAGCAGATTTTGGATTTATTGGGCCACAGAAAATCTCATTGCCTATGTGCCATTTAGTCAAGTCCTCATTGATAAATGACTAAGAGGCTTCTAGTTTAGCTTTTATTTTCTAATAGGAAGAATGCTGCAATTAGTATCTTGCCAGTCTGAAATTAACTACATTTTAAACTGATACTTTGGGATTGAAAATATACAGTGAATTCCTCTTGCTGATTTCTGACCTTATACACTGCACTTTCTCCATTATAAGCATACGTTTCCTTTCTCTCCCTACCAAGTTCTTAGAGCTTGTCTTATTCACATTTGAGTCTCTCAAAGTATTTTGATCACGATATTTTAATTTTACTAAAGTTGGAAATTAGAAAAAAGTATTCTTCCCCCCCTCCCACTTCTCTTTCCCTCCTTATTTTTATATTTCTTCTCTAAACTAAATATAACCCATATTTTAATAACTAAAAATACTGTTTCAAAAACAAATACTTACTTGTATTTAGAAACTGGGAAAAGCACCTTTAAGATGGTTATGACCCCAGCTGCTCCTAGAATTCCAACCACCATGACGTTCAAAAACATAAAGAACACTGGGAAAACACTGCTCCAGAACTTACACAGATCTTTTCTGAACTTTTCCATCCACTGACACATTACCTGGAAAATGAGTTTTAATTAGATATAAAAGTTCCACAAACTTAAAATGATTGTGGTAATGGTTACATGACTGTCAAAACGAAATGTATTTTTAGGGCTGAGGGTATAGTTCAATGGTAGAGTACTTATTCACACACTTGAGGCTCTGTGTTCAATCCCCAGCACTACCAAAAAAAAAAAAAAATACAAAAACTAACGGTATATTTTAAACAGGTGCATTTTATTCTAAAATGTACCTTAATAAGTTATTTACAAACTTAAAAAATTATGTTCCAGAAATATAGAGCCAGAAATGTTAGTATCCTTTAAGATTATTTATACTGTAGTCTTAACTACACATCAAATGCAAAAAAAAAAAAAAAAACCTAATATAATGAACTGTTTCAAGTAATTGGAAGACAAGAAAGAGAAAGACAAACTTAATAGCTTTTAGAACAGGTGGGAGGTTCATTGTGTACAAAATATTTCTTGACAAGCAAGAAAAGAACCTAAAGTGGGCACTAATGGCATGAGATATGAAGACAGTCTGTTCTGGTGCTGACCTGCTGCAGGGGTTGGGGTTAGATAGGGTGAGGGTATCACAGTCCAAACTGCCAAAGTGACCTAGATTTCTCCATCAACTCCAAATAAGCAATTCTGATCTTCTCTTCTATGTAGGCTAACCACAGACTTTTCTCATTTAAATGGAAATTATTTGGGGCAAGGGGGCTAACTAATAGGAAGAGATACCTGCATATTTCTGAACTGTATCCTAGTCAGCAGTATACATGTCAGGATAATGAGTACTTAGTAGGTGCCAATACATAAATATTTATACATAATATCCATCTTATTTTACCCTTACAACTTAATGAAATACTTCACACTACTTTAGAGATTAAGCACAAATAATGAAACAGGTTACAAAGGTTAAGAATTTGCTACACAACTAGTAAATGGCAGGCCAGGTTTCAAACTAGGCAACCTGAATCCAGAAAGTATACTTTTAACCACCTGTGCTTAATCATCATACAAGATCCTGGGGGCACAAATGTATCTGTGTGTATATAAAGTAATAGCTGTAGAATAAAAAGAAATAGAAATATGAGAATTCTGGAACTGGGAATTCTCAACCAAATGAAATTCAGTGCCTTAATAATCATGATATGACTACATTAGTATTAAATGAAGCTTAAAGAATAAAATAGGAATACCTAAAAATATCACCAAGTCCATTATTAACAATGTTCCATAGTTCTGATCTTCATGGTTTCTTCCTCATTTTAAATATTACTACTTTTTTCACAACAGCCATAAAGGTTGGTAACACCAAAGGCTCAATTTACCTTATATGAGGATGGAGGCTCTGCTCTGAGAGGAGTTTCAGGTAATTTTCCAGGTAAAGCATTTTCATCTATAGTGGTTTCCACATTCCTGAGAAGATACTGGCTGGTGGTCTGCAGTGAACTAACACTTTCCACTGAGGAAGAACAAAGTTACCAAAATGCTAGCAACATACTTGAGTCTCTTCTAAAAGTCATAAGATTATTATGCCAATAACATTTAGGTATTATGCCACATTCAGGATAGTAAGTACATACCTTTTACAATGGGAGAAAAAAATAAAAACATTTTATTCCCCGATTTAAGCACCAGAAGGGCAACACTTAGGCACTTAGAAGAAGTTATAATTTAGTCACATACAAAGTATAAATTTAATAATTCTATAGCCTACAGTGGAAAATGAATACTTCTTCCTTTAAATGAACATTTACAATATTATATTTTTGATAAGTACCCAGAGTAAGAATGGGCAATTACTGAAAATTGTCACCACACCAGCAGCACTGATCACATTCTACTAAGGCTCAAAATAAGATTCCTAAAGTCCTTAAATGGACATACATACTAATACATGTTATGAGACTTCTGTGGTGCTGGGAATCAAACCCAGGGCCTCATGCGTGCAAGGCAAGTGCTCTACCACTGGGCTACACCCCAGCCCCTTAAAGATTTTTTTAAAGAAGCTTATTTCCAAACATATTAAACACATATGGCAGCTTTTACAAGTAATATAAAGAGTCCAAAGTTCAAGAGTATATAATATAGCTACTAACTAAAGAAATAGTTTCCTTAATATGTTAAATTATGGCCTTTAAATACCTTTTTTGGAGAGGTTGGGAAGGGTAAATAAATTGTCACTGTCTCGGGAAATAGAGTATAACATGCTTTCTTCCAAAGGAAGGGTGTAGTTTGAATGTCTGAGTACTCCCTGGTTCTTAACTAAAATATCAATTTCGGTAACTTCCTTCTGTTGAGCCTATGAAAGAAAAAAATAAGTACCTGTATTTTAAATACTGGCCTAGAACCATGAGAACTTAAAAAGTCAATTTTCCTCCCTGATTTCTATAATTAAAAAACTTGACTTATTCAGACAATTATTTCTTATACCCTCCCACTCCCACTTTGGAGCATTTAATTTGCAATTTGAATCATATTCCTGTCTGCTTTAGCATTCACACAATCCCAGTTCCATTCAATTTATACACAGACTTAGTAAAAGGAAATGGTAGCTGAACTATGAACCAAATTCAATCTCTTCACTTAACTTTTTGTTTAATGATATTTATAACAATTAAGTGATATGACATACAAATAAGCAAATTTAAAAAAAAAAAAAAACTGTTCATGGACCTTTATTAATTTATTTATATGTGGTGCTGAGAATTGAACCCAGTGCGCCTCACACATGCTAGGCAAGTGCTCTACCACTGAGCCACAACCCCAGCCCCAAATAAGCAAATTTTTAAAAATTAATATACTTAAAATGCTAAAATAATAAAAATGCTAACTGATTAGATACAGGCAATGTTAGGGTAGCTTCTTCCTTATCAAGTTAGAAAGAAATAATTGAACACATGCATACCTAGCACAAATTGAAATCTTAACAATTCCCAGTTAACAAGCATACTATCTTACTTGTTTTCCATCAATCTCTACTACCTCTTCTTGAATGACAATTAGTTGCAAACTGGAACCCGATGTCATAGGCCACTCATGAACTAAAATCCTTACACTGACAATTCCAAAATATTCCTTTTCCTCCAAATTTTCCAGATTTTCATTCTTCACTATAAAAAAAAGTAGTGACAACTTTGAGCAAAGATTGCCACCAAATTTGTTATTGAATTTGTTTATTCTGATGACATTTACATGAAACAATACCATTGAAAACCATTTTCATTGGCTTCTTCATCCCTGACCTTAAGACTATTTCAGATTTATAAAAACAAAGACAACTTGACAACCCTGACAAGGGCTTATGCTTGTTTGAAAAGGGGAGATGCTTGGCAATCTTTTAATTTTATAAGAAATGCTACACCAGCAACATCTTTCCTATCCATTTTATACAGGTTGGTAGTGAGGAGCCAAAAGAGTGTAACTATGGACAAAGCAGGCCACAAGACAGTCAATCCCATGGTTTAGCAAAATAAGCGCATACATTCATCCACAAAACCCAGTGATAGAAGAGGCGCAACATAAGTCCCCCCTCCCCCAAATTCTTTCCTCAATAAGTGATTTGTTACTGTTGGAGAGGGCAGGAAGGGGGAAAAGAATAGGACAAGCCTAGTAAAGGACAGGTAGGGTAGGTACTAGCTATGTTCCTCTTTAGGTAGGAATATACTCCTACCCCCCACCCCAACCCCAAATGAAATGGGGTAGAGTAGTTGCAGGTATTTATGGAGCCAGTGGCTCTTCTATTAAATTAGAAAGTGCCATAGAAAAAGATAAAGCAACACACCCAATGATACCACCACAAAAGGAGCATTTAGTTGTTGTCCTTCAAATAATCTCAGGATTTATCAAACAGGAACCTAATGGATATCTGAATGCAGACCTAGCAGTTTAAACTGATTTCTTGCCTTTATAGAGGTATTCCTTTTGTCTAGAATATCCCTATATCTAATTCACTAACCACCCAGAATCATAATGGCTACCTAGTTATTCCCCTATAGTCTCTCCCCCTCTAAACCATTCATGCAACATTGCCTGATTTACCTTACTATAACAGTTTTAATTATATTCCTTGCTCAAACACTGTCAATGGCATCCCCATGAATTTTCTGGTACTTCTCTGACTGGTCTTCCTTCAGGCTTCTATTTGGGGCTGGGCTCCCTCTCTAGCCTTCCTAATCCCCACTCGCAATATCCTTGGACACTTGTAACTGTAAAATGCCCCCTTTTCATGATTCATCTCAGTGCACTTTTGTTTCTGTTTTGTTTTTTGCTTTGTTTTGAGGTTCTGAGGTCAAACCCAGGGCCTTTTACGTACTAGTCCTGTGTTCTACCACTGAACTATACAGGCCTAGTCCCTTACATTTCTTTTCTTTCCTTTTTTTTTTTTTTTGGTACTGGGGATTGAATTCAGGGGCCCTCAACCACGGAGCCACATCCCCAGCCCTATTTTGAATTTAATTTAGAGACAGGGTCTCACTGGATTGCTTAGCGCCTTGCTTTTGCCGAGGCTGGATTTGAACTCATGATCCTCCTGCTGACTCAGCCTCCCAAGCCACTGGGATTACAGGCATGTGCCACAGCACCCAGCTTCATTTTTTTTTGAGAATTTTAATATTTATTATTTTTTTTTTTTTAGTTTTTGGCAGACACAACATCTTTGTTTGTATGTGGTGCTGAGGATCGAACCTGGGCCGCATGCATGCCAGGCGAGTGCGCTACCACTTGAGCCACATTCCCAGCCCTTCATTTTTCTCTTGAGACAGGGTATCACTATGCTGCCTAGGCTGGCTTTGAACTCCTAGGCTCAAGTAATTCTCCCACCTCAGCCTCTCAAATGCTGGGACTACCGGTGTGTATCACCACACCTGTTTCCATGTCAGTGTTTCTAACTGTTAACTCACTGATTGCCCTTACAGCCTTGTTAGCATTTCTGTATGCCCAAAGCCTAAGGCACAAGAGGGAGTGAGAAAATGCAGTCATACAAAAACATCACAATGGATACTCTTCAGCCCCCAAATCTGATACCCCTACTATAAATTAAAACTAAATTAAAAACAGAAGCCCTTCACATTCTGACTTCCTCACTGTGGCAGCCAACTTTCAAAAATGGCCCTCAAAGATGCTTGCCTTTGCATGACTCCCTCTCTCTGGGTAAGGGATAGGATTAGTCACTTGTTTCTGACAAACAGCACAGCACAAGAGATAATTTACATTCCTTTTTTCATTTGAATAATATGGTCTATTCCAATGTAATATATTTGCTTATCTTTAAACAATTAAAAAATTTAAAAGGTTAAAAAGAAAAATGTTCTACTGACATAAGGGTAGAAGAAACTGACAATTATACCAACAGTTCATTTTCTCCAATCGTGGAAAGTGATTCTCCAAGATTTCAGCTTTTGCTATCCTACCTCAGTATATGCATGCTTATACTGATGACCCTCCCAGAAATGCAGTCCCATCAATGCCAATCTCATGAAAGAAAATGGTCGACATCCCATCAGTAACCAATATAAAGCACACAGTTTTAAGCACATTGGTATTGTATATTAGAGAAATGATGTGTATTATTGCTTTAAAATGGACATGTATAACATCCAAGAATCTTATTATTTAGTATTATTAAAAACAGAATACTTTGGAAATGATTTAGTAGTACTCACCTATCAAAGTCTGACAGCTTATTCGGGTTACACCACTATTTACAGGTAAGTCATTTACATATACCTGTCCACTCTCATAGGTTATGTTAAGAACAACCTTAAAATAAAGCAGCATATACATTAATTCCAGTGGTTTATAAATTACAAACTCTTCATGTCAAAAATACATTGTCTAACTAAATTACATGTAGAGGTGCTATGGTTTACATGTTGTTTGTCCTAAGAAATCATGTGTTAGAGGGTTGGTCAGTGTTGTGGTGTTGAGGTGGCAGGACTTTTAAGATATGGGTCAACTTGGAAGTCCATAAGTTGCTGAAAGCATGTCCTCAGAAGGAACTGTGAGACTCCAGACTCTCTTTGGCTTCCTATCTGGCAATGTGATCTTTCACTCCCACATGTGCTCTTGCCACTATGGTACCATCTGCCACAAGGTGTTCCAAGCTGACTCCAGCAATAAGCCCTTGAATTTCCCTAACTGTTAATTAAACTGCTAAATAGACCTCTTTCTTTATAAAGTAGCCTAGCTCAGGTATTTTGTTATAGCAACAGAAAATGAACAAATAGAATAAAAGTAAAATCCACTGCATTTCATTTGGCTAAATTATATATTAAAAACATAATGAAAAAGAAACAAACCTGTTCTTTAGATACCTCCCCATCATCTTTCAGGGTAGTTACATTAATTTTGATGCCATCCTGCAAAACAAATATAAATAGACAGGTATTCATTTCACAAATTATTTTTATTGTATCATCCCTTATAAGAGCATGAAAAGAATATTTTAAAAAACCATTGCTGGGTACAGTGAAATACATTGGTAGTCCCAGTAATTTGGGAGTCTGAGGCAGGAGGACCACAAGTTCAAGGCCAGCCACAGTAGCTTAGTGAGACCCTGTCTCAAAATTAAAAAAAAATAAGGATCTGAAGATGTATTTCAGTGGTAGAATGCCTCTGGGTTCAATCCCCAGTACTGGAAATAAATAAATAAATAAATAACCTCAAAAGAACAAAAAAATTATATTTTATTATAGACTTTTTATGACTTGATTACAATTCCAATTTTGAAATAATCTATATGCTTTTTCCATTGTGAAATATATTACATACATGAGAATATAAATGTCATGTAGAGTTTAAAAAGATTAGTCCCCATGTAACTACTACCTAGGTTAAAATCTAGAATATTACTCATGCTTTAGAAGTCCCTGCATGAAGCTGTCAAAGCCCCCTCCTCTCCTCAGAGGGAATCTCTTTTATTCCCTCCACATTTTTATTGATGCATTATAATTATCTATAATGGAGCACTATTTCCAGGTTAATTAATTCCTGCTTCATCATAGTTTTGGTAGAATGCCTCTTGGTTCAATCCCCAGCTTCATCATAGTTTTACTATCTGTATATCTCTAATAACATATTACCTAGTTTCATCTGTTTCTAAGCTTTATATAAATGGAATATTTTATGTATTCTTCCAAAATTTGTTTCTTCTATTTAAAATTGTTGATGCATGCTATGTGCAGTGATGCACACCTGTAATCTTCAGGCTAAGGCAGGAAGATCACAAATTTGAGAGCAGAATGGGCCACTTGGCAAAACTCTTTGTCAAAATAAAAATTTTTAAAAAGGGGGCTAGGCTGTAGTTCAGTGGCAGAGTGCTCTTGGGTCAAATCCCCAGTACCACACACACACAAAAATTGTTGACGCACACAGCTATAGTCACTAATTACACTACTTTATGCACCATTCCCACTGTAGGATTAACAAATTATTTAATTATTCCACTATTCATGGACACTTGTGTTGTTTTCAACTTAATTTTGATTTTACAAACGAAGGTGCTCTGGCCATTCTTGAGTGTGACTCTTGGACAAGTATATACAGTGTACATTTTATTGCCTATATTAAGGTATGATCAAAAGCATTCTACCCAAATATTAAGTTTACTGATGGCATGCTTTCTGTAGAAAGAAGCACTATTTCACAAAGTACTATCACTGACCACCGGAACTACAATCTGTGCTTTATTTCCTAAGTTTTCACACAAGACATTGTTATCATAGAACAAAACAATACATTCCTCTCAAATATGGTTATCCTTGGGTTGTATTCTTAATTTAAAAATAGAAAATTTACTCATAAACATAAAAAACCAGTATTTCTTGGTTTGCGAGTATCCCTAATACCTTATATTTATACACAGTCATGCTCCACATAATGTTTCAGCAAACAAGAGACTACATATGACAGTGGCCCCATACAAATGTATCATCTATTGATGGCATAGCTGTCCTTGTGTAAGTATGTTCTATACCACTCATACAACATCAAAATCATCTAAGGTTACATTTCTCAAAACATATCCCCATGTGACATAGCTACAATTTCCAACAGAAGAGAGAATAAGACTGACATGATTTCATGAGGTTGGCTGACTCCAGGGACAATTTGTGGAGAAGGATTCATACCACATAAGGCCCAATCATATGTTTAAGCCCACTTTGGTGCACTTCCCAACTACTCTAGGAACCAAGGAAGCTCTGCAACCAGTAATTCCTCAGAACCAGTTTGGTTCTTCCTAGTCCACCTTGATCTAGAGTAAGCTTCAGTTAGAATCAATGAAAACTCTAAAACATATCACTCAATAAGCCATCCAGTTGGTGGGTACATTGTTTTTTGTTTTTTTTTAAAGTTGCTCAAGACAATACAATGATCTTGACATATCATATTTGATTCAAATAGGGTATGAATTCTCATTTTTCCACGTATACAGATTGCAGGATAACATTGGTTATACATCCATGTGTATACATACAGCAATCCTAGTGTCAGTTGTATTCTGCTGCCCTCCCTATCCCCCTCCCCTCCCCTCCCCTCCCATCACTATTCTCTACCCATTCTACTCTGACACTTACCTCTCTCTCTTTTTTTTCTTCCCTTCCCTCTCACACCGTCATATATGTATTTTGTGAACCCATGAGGGTTTCCTTCCATCTTCCATGCAACTCCCTTCTCCCTCCCTTTCCCTTCCTCCTCTTTTCCTTGTTTCATGGTAATTTTCTTCTCATGCTCTTCCTTCCTACTCTGTTTTGAGTCACCTCCCTTATATCAGAGAAGACATTCGGCATTTGTTTTTTAGGGATTGGCTGACTTCACTTAGCATAATTTGCTTTAGTGCCATCCATTTCCCTGCAAATGCCATGATTTTGTTATTTTTTAATGCTGAGTAATATTCCATTGTGTCACAATATCCTCAAAAAAAAAATAAAATATTTGGGAATCAACCTAACAAAAGAGGTGAAAGACCTTTTCAACGAAAACTACGGAACACTAAAGAGGGAAATAGAAGAAGATCTTAGAAGATGGAAAGATATACCTTGCTCATGGTTAGGCAGAATTAATATCATTAAAATGGCCATACTACCAAAAGTACTCTATAGGTTTAATGCAATGCCAATCAAAATCCCAATGGCATTCCTCGAAGAAATAGAAAAAGCAATCATGAAATTCATCTGGAGAAATAAAAGACCCAGAATAGCTAAAGTAATTCTAAGCAGGAAGAGTGAAACAGGTGGTATAGCGATACCAGATTTCAAACTATACTATTGAGCAATAGTAACAAAAACAGCATGGTACTGGTACCAAAATAGGCAGGTAGACCAATGGTACAGAATAGAGGACACAGAAACCAATCAACAAAATTACAACTACCTTATATTAGACAAAGGTGCTAAAAGCATGCAATGGAGAAAGGACAGCATCTTCTACATTGTTTTTTTAATCCAAAGTCCAATTAAAAGTTCCTCTTACCAAACTACAAAAGCTGTTTCTAACTGCCTAGAGAGAATCTCCAATAACAGAACAAAATAGAAACCATTTTCAGCTTCTGCCTTTCAGCAGCAAATCTATACTACAACATTGTTAGTCATTTACTGAACATAAACCTACTGCTTGCTTAGTAAAATACAGGGTTTATAAAAGACAATTAATAGACCAAACACACTGTATTTTCCAGAGACTCAAGTTTAATTAATTCTTTTGGGGTACTGGGAGTGTAGCTAAGTAGTAAAGTGCACACTTAGCATGTGCAAGGCCCTGGGTTTAATCCCCAGCACCAATAAAATAAAATAAATTCTTTTAGATCCTTCTCAATGACTTCAGTGCAGAAGGGAATTTCATTCTTTACTGCCTCCTAAAACTAAGTTCAAAACTCACATTTCTTGTTCTAAAAACCTCTGATTGAACTGGAAGTTCAGACTTGTAAGCCATGGTTGTGTATGCCTAGAAAGTAGATGTCAAAACTGAAGTTTCTCCCCACCCATTTTCAGATCTTTACTCACTGTCTGCCTATCTGGGACACAACTGGCTTCCTAAAGAAAAAGAGAATCAACTGTTGGTTTAAATTAAGTCTGGGAGAAATATATAAAACAAGTACCCATTCAAAATATATTATTATCTAAAAATCTCTGGAAACCAAGTTAACATTAGAAGAATGTACTACAGCCAGGCACAGTGGATTTGCCTGTAATCCCAGCAATTTGGGAGGCTGAGGCAGGAGGCTCTCAGGTTCAAAGCCAACCTCAACAATTTAGCAAGGCCTTAAGCAATTTGGCAAGATCCTGTCTCTAAAAATAAAAAAGAGCTGAGAATGTGACTCAGTGGGTAAGCTCCCCTGGGTTCAATTCTTAGTACCAAAAAAGAAAAAGGAAAAAAACAAAGAATGTACTACAAAAGCTTTAAATATTTTGCAGTCTGACAAATGCATACACATGAAAGTGAAAATGCTTAGAATACAGTAAATGTGAGTCCTTGCAGGAAGACAGGAAAAATTTTCTTGACTTCAACCAGTTGTCTTAAATTTATATCAGGCTGGATATAAGGATGGACAGATGAACAAGTATGTAACAAAGTAAGTTCAGAAAAATGTTAATATTAGTAGTCTATAAGTAAAATCTGGCACCCTCTAATGGCACATGGCTACATAAATTACTTAAAATTAAATAAAAAATTTAAAAGCCAGTCCTTCATTTACATTGGCCACATTTCAAGTGCTCAGTGACCACAACTATAGCTACTACAATGGTAGGAAAATTAACAATCACTGCACAAAGTTCTACTGAAGAGCACTTATCTGACATGGAGGACCACTGTAAAATTCTTTCAAGTTTTCTGAACATTTTTTTCTTTTTCTTTCTTTCTTTTTTGTTTTGGTACCAGAGACTGAACTCAGGGGCATTTGATCACTGAACCACATCTCCAGCCCTTTTTTGTATTTTATTTAGAGACAGGGTCTCACTGAGTTGCTTAGCACCTGGCTTTTGCTGAGGCTGGCTTTGAACTGATGTTCCTCCTGCCTCAGCCTAAAGAGCCCCTGGGATTACAGGTGTGCGCCACTACACCCAGCGAAAATTTTCAACTTTGAAAAAGAACTTGGATGAATCGATTTCAGCATCTCATGTTTCTATCCCAACTAATGAGACTGTCTTTCTAGCTATTCTGCATTAATTTAGTTTATGAAATTCCGAGTTTAGATTTGAACTTTCCAAAAGTGGAATGAAAATCTAAGAAGGGAGAACTGAAATGGTGAAATCACTAACACCCAAGCCACAGTGCAGTGTACTTAACCTTTCAGCTAAACTCTTTTTTTCTCAGATTTTCAGACAGACCCAAATGTGTTTTGGGTTGATAAATAACAACGATACATCTTTATAGATGAAAAAGGGAGAAACAAAGTCATTATCTCCCTAACTTTAAAATTATTTCATTTTTATTTGGTTTCTTGGTGCTTGTCCATGGCATTTCTATTTTTAATTATATGCAACTGTAACACACAAATAATTTCACATAAAAGTGGTCCTTATGAGCTCTCAATGTTGTGGCTCTCTGGAATGTGCCAGCAGAACTAAAACAGACATCCTCGTCATTTTTGTACCAGGGACATAAAAGTTTGTTGTTGTTGTTTTTAAGTGACATTCTGTCAGTCACCTCTGTATTTATTTTACTCAAGTCCAGACTTGAGTAAGATGTACTTCCCTAGTTTCTTTTCTTTCTGGGAAAAATTGTATTTTAAAATCTTCAAACTTTTCCTGACTATACAACTGAAAAAAGGCCAATATCACGGCTGCTTTGTAATACAATGATGCAAAGGTTCTCACGGGTTCAGGGTCTCCTAACACACAGTGGGCCCCGCCCCCGGCCACACCTGAAGGAGCACTATTAACACATCGGACAAAACGAGGAGTCAGGTCTTCAGCCTCTCCTTTTCTCTAACCCCTCAGCCTGGGAAGGAACTCCTTCCCCACCGCCAGCCGAGGAAATACACTAAGCGGGAAATACACTAAGCGGGTAACTTTCACATTTCCCGAACACAAACACTGCCGGGCTAGGACTGCTCTAGCCCAGGAAGGCGCCACAACAAAACCCTGAGGTCAAGGGTGATCGCGCACTTTAGACAGAAAAGCTCCAGCAGGAGGAGCAACTGTTTGGACTGCTCTAAGAATCTCGAAGCTTTGCGGCCCGAGACTCGGCCACACATTAAGGTGTCCCAATTGTTTCCTTCTCTCTCTCTCTCGCCTCCGGCTCCCCACCATTCCATTTCCCACGATGCTTCCCCTCACCCTTCCTTTTGGGTCGAACCACAGCCCCAGCTCCCCGGCGCGAGGTGAGGGGAGTCGCTGGAGCGACCTGGCCTCCCCGCAGGTCTGACTCGAAGAACGGACAGCCGCACCCGCCGTGTCCTACCCGTGGGGCTCCGGACAGCTCCGGCGGAGGCTCCCGGGCATTCGTCGTCAGCCACCCGAAGGCAGGCAACGCCAGGAGGAGCAGCAGTCGGAGGGCGAGCCGTGCAGGGGGAGCACCATCCATCTTGCACAACCCGGGATTCGGGCTGGGAGGGCTCCGTAGACCTTCCGGGGGCGGGGTCAGAGGGGCGGGGCAGGCCTGCCCCCCCAGGCGACTGCGCACGCGCTGGGAGCTGCCACTACCCTGCCCGCGCGGAGGATCAAACTGTGCACGCGCGCTGCAGCTCCACCAAGGGATCAAGTCAAGTTTGGGGAAGACCCGGTTATTTCACCGCGGCTGAGCTTTGAAGAGGGGTTCCAACCTAAATAAGTGCAAGCACTTTCGTTGCCATTACTTTTTAATTGACAATAAACAATTTTACTATTTTGTATGAACCATTCATACAAAATAGTAAAATTGTTTATGTACTTTATATACATATGCACATGCATCTGCAAAATGAAAACAATGATAACACTTCAGGACACTTATGCATCAAAAGTAAAAAGTTTCACATTTAAAAGGGAAATTTTTGTTAAATGGGTAGTTCCCATCCTTGGCTGCATGTGGGAATCTCCGGGGCAGTTTTTGAAAGTACTGGGGTCTCTCTGGGCTCCCAAGTTTCTGAGCTAGGTGCGAATTCCAGGAAGAGAGTAAGAAGACCCTCAGTTGAGGCCTGTTGGCTAAATAATGGCTAAATAGTTTACAGTATTATTTGACAATAAACAATTTTACTATTTTGTATGAATGGTTCTACTTTTTTGCTATATGCATGCACAAGCATCATGGGATTTCATGTTAAAATGTCCCATACTATGAAAAGAAATACATCACAACTATGATGTTATAACAAAACTTTAAGCAAATCTTGTTACAAAGTTTCACTCACTTGTTATCCATTAGAATGTCATCAGACTCAGCTTGGCATACCTGACTTTTTTATTAATCTGTAAACCAACTCAGCCATTGCTTAAATTACAGTGGGTTTTTGTTGTTGTTGTTGTTTGGGGGGGATACTGGGGATTGAACTCAGGGGCACTCAACCACTGAGCCATATCCCCGGCCTGATTTTATATTTTATTTAGAGAAAGGGTCTTACTGAGTTGCTTAGTGCCTGGCTTTTGCTGAAGCTGGCTTTGAACTTGTAATTCTCCTGTCTCAGCCTCCAGAGCACTGGGATTGCTGGGATTACAGTCTTGAGCAACCAGACCAGCATGTTTTGATCTTTTGTGTCCGCACATGTCAACTTGACTTCCTTGATCATTAAAGCAATGAAAAGGAGTTTCACCTAACACAGGAATCCACTGTAGTTCAGTACACACGAAGTGCTTTCCACTTAGTGAAGATAATCTTTCAAGTAACAGTAAATAGTCTAAAAATTTCTAACAGCATGTAAGTTGTATTAAAAATAAATCTTCAGGGGCTGGGGATATAGGTCAGTTGGTAGAGTGCTTGCCTCACATACACAAGGCCCTGGGCCAGCATCACACACACACACAAAAAAAAATCCCTTCATTCCTTCATCAGATAATACCCTTGGACCCCAAACTATGATTTATTTCCTTCTTCAGCCAATGATTTGTTATTTTCATCATTCCCATATTTGAAATTTGAATTCAGCTTTTCTGCAATTCAAAGCAGGCTGGGGGCTGGGGCTTGGCTCAGCGGTAGAGTGCTTGCCTTATACTTGTGAGGCACTGGGTTCGATCCTCAGCACCACATAAAAATAAACAAATAAAATAAAAGCATGCTGTCCATCTATAACTATAAAAAAATTAAAAAAAAAAAAAAAAGCAGGCTGGATACCAAAGGGAAGACTGGGACACTTTGTATCTGGTTTCAATTTCTGGGATAGAACTGCACTGATGTTAAAACACATTTCCACTCCTCTTTTCCATATTTACTCAACTGTATATTTTTGAACTTCCTGAAGACCTCCAGGAGAGGATAATAAGGAGAGCAAGAAACAAGGATATGCTTTTTCACATCTCTTAAAAATCATTGACAAATTTTATCTTATATTTTCTAAGATATTAAAAAACTGCTTTTACAGTGTACTTCTCATCCATTAATTTAGAAGTGAATTTTATTAGACCCATCATGATGGATGATGCTTCTTATATGAAAAACAATTCAGAAATATCATTGTGACAGCCAGCATTTATTGTGATGAATTATGATTCCATTTTTTATATACAAAACATATTTATAGGGGCTGGAGTTGTAGCTAAGTGGTAGAGTGCTTGCCTAGCATGTGTGATGCACTAGATTTGATACTCAGCACCACATAAAAGTAAATAAAATAAAGGTATTGTGTCCACTTACAACTAAAAAAAAATTATTAAAAAAAAAAAAAACATTTATAGAGATTAAATGTTTTGCCCCAAATTAAAGAATGGTGATGGGGCCATGAATTTTAGCCCTGGCATTGTGAACCAACATATTATACTGGTTCATATTAAAAGTTAAACATCATAATTTAGTAGAGTGCTTGCCTGACATGTATGAAGCCCTAGATGCAATCCCCAGCAACCCCCTCCACAGGTACACACAGCAATAAAATGTTCCTTCACTGATTTGGAAAATTTGGCACGAACTGGGTTGGGAGAAATGGAGAAACAGGAGAGTGTGGTAGATATTTACTTCTTACTACCACAAAGAGAAGCATCACATCCAAGATGCATCTCCTACTGTCTGCTACCCCAGCTAACTGGTATCAACAACCTGAGGGTGTGCAAAGAGAGCCATTCCCAAGGATGTTAAAAAGTGTACTGTAAATTTTGCTTGATTAGTACTCTAAGTATCCTTCAGGGAAAGGGTGTGGTAGAGTTATTGTCTAGCATGTGAAGTGCCCTGGATTCAATCCCCAGCTCTAAAAAGAAAGAGTATCCTAGTTAGAGATCTTGTCAGGACTGGGTATGGTGGCATATGCTTGTAATCCCAGCAGTTGGGAGGCTGAGGAGGAGAATTGCAAGTTCTAGGCCAGCCTCAGAAACTTAGCAAGGCTTTCAGTAACTTAGTGAGACTGTCTCAAAATGAAAAAAACAAAAAACAAAAAAGGGCTGGAAATGTGGCTCAGTAGTAAAGTGCCCCTGGGTTTAATCCCTAGTACCATTAAAAAGATGAAAAAAATTTGTCATATTAAAAAAATAAAGAAAAGGGAAAGTCATCTATGACAAATGTTAACAACAATTAAATGGTGGAGGTATAAATAATTTTGAGTCATAGTAACCCAGATGCATAGGTAAATAATTTTACATGGCCTTGGCATCCATTCTGAATATAAGGTGGACTTTCTCAAACCAGAAGCAGAGTTCAGTCACCCTTTACATGGTTTCCAGTTCTATACCTCCACCCAGTTCTTCAGTATGGATGATCCAGATACCTGTCTAACACAACTGCCCCTCTTCAGCATCTCTACAGGGGGCAGCTGGATGCAGCCTGCTCAAGTGGCCCTACTAACCTCCATACCAGACAGATACTGGGCAGATAAGCCATAGTGACCAACTCTCAGCCATAGTGTGACCTACTGGAACTCATGCCTACTTGTTTTAAATCTACCAATTAAAACTCCCCATGGAAAATCTGTAGGCACTAGGAATTAAGCAACAAAGTTTATTATATTTCTGGAATATACACTGTAACAACGATAAACAAATTCCTAAATACCATACGAGATGATGAAAACTCCAACTAGAAAGTTCAGCTAGTGAAAAGGCCCTGATGCAGGTATTTGTCCCCAGTGTTCAGGGAACAGCAAAAAGGCTAGTGTAGTTTCAGGGGAATAAGAAAGAAGACAGGAAGATGGAGTAGAAGGAGTTCATGTAAGGCCTGTAAACTATTGTAAAAACTTTGGCTTAGTGTCAGATAAGAAGTTACTGGAGGTTCTAGGTGTGAAAGCTGCTAGAATCAAGATGAAGTTATATTTATTCCAAACGATGTCATGAGACCATAAAGGAAGGGCTCTCAGGAACATATGCCTGTGTTGAAAATCTACAAGGATCTTAACCCGCACACCTTTCATAAAAAAGTGAGTTTGTGTGTGTGTGTGTGTGTTTGTGTGGTGCTGGGGATTGAACCCGGGGCCTGCTCATGTGAGCCAAGCACTCTACACCAAGACAGCTATATCCCCAGCCCCACAAAGAATATTTCTGCCAGAATGTCTACCTTGGCGGATACCACCTTGTTTCGTCTTTCTAGAATAGAATAATTTCAAAACAATTTACGTAACCTTCATTTTACCTTCAAAAACCCGTGTCTTTCTTTGCCTCCTTGGAATTGCCCATGCTCAGCCATAGCACACATCCCAGATTTACATTGATACGTATAAAGTGAGAGCAAGGATGCATACAAGAGAGCAAGTCTGTAGACCAGGAGAGTGGAGAGTAAAGTTTGCACAGAAAACTGTTATTGGAGGGCCCAAAACCCCAAAGAGAAGTCAAAACTAATTTTAAGTCTTCTAGAGTATTCATCATACCAGTAGAGATTTGGGGGTAACGCCTGTTACTTTTTAGCTTGTCGAACACAGGAAGTTATACTTATTATACTTATTCCAAAACCTAACGAAGTTATACTTTATACTCGCCATGTGTGGCTACTACCAGGGTTAGTCGCTAGACAGTACTCGCAGGAAAAACAAACTCCTTGTTAATCACCTTTCCCAGTAACAAACGGTGAGCTTCGGGCCTGGAATTCTCAATGTAGAGCTATGAGAAGAGAGTCGAAAAGAAGGTCGGGGACAACCACGCCGCCAGGAGAACCTTCCTATTCTGAAGATGGGCACAAAAAGGGGCACAAAAATCTTATAGCGTTATCCTCTGAGAGATAGGCTCGCATACGGGTCAGCAAGGGCCAACCCGGACTTTCAAACGTGCACGTGCCGCGACAGAGAAACTCCTGAGAGGTTGGTGGAGCGCTGACCAAGCCAAAAGCAAAAGCAGCCCGAAAGAGGGCGGTGGCGCCGGGAGATGACGCAAGCACGCGTCGCGCCCAGGGCGACGCGTGGCGTAGAAAACGTCGGGCCGCGCTTGTCAATCCTCCGCCCCCCCCCCCCCCCCCCCCCGCCCGCCTCCCGGGGCTTGTTGCCGAGGAGGAGCCGGCGCCATGGCGG